GTAATCATAAATACAGTAATTATGATTTTGATAATGTTTATCTTTTACATTAATTGAGATGTTACACAATTCACTAATAATCACTTATTCAAATATTTAATAATTAAGATGAATTACTATTTAAAATTAATAATTTACTAAAAATAAATAATAATAATAATAAAGATAAATTTTTAATTCTTATTTTGAGATTGAATAAATGCAATATCTTATAATTTATATGTTAAATCATTATATTTTAAATAAAATTAATCTCATTAATAAAATATAAATTTATTTAAATATTTTTTAATTAACTAATTTTATATAGATATATTCATATTTTTTTTAAATTAATCAGGCTAAAATTGACTCGTTAGTTAATTGACTTACCATAGACATATTAAACTAAAATTTTTTGTTTATTTTAAAATATAAATTACTTAATCGGTAAGATTAGATCAAACTGAACTCCACTATTCGTTTTGACATATTTATATGCATGTTAACCAATAATCTAAATTTGACATAATATTAGAATTAATTTAGTCTCGTCTAATAGACATTTTTTTAATAAAAAACATTAATTATCTAAATATAATTTATATGTGTATAAATTAATTTGAAGTTAAAATATGACATTTCAATTAAATATACAAATTTCACCCACTCCATCAAATGACATGTGATATTTTATGATGAAAAAGATAAAATGAAGATAGCATGTGGCATTCATTTGGAGGATTATGGAAGAGAGGTTTGAAGACATTTTAGAGGAAACAAAGGGTGAGATGGAAAGAAAACTTGAGAAAACAACTTAAAATGAACAACTCAAAGAACCTTAAAGTCTACACACATTGAAACACATGAGGTGGCATGGATGAAGAGTCTATGCTGTGCATTTTGCAACAATTGATAGTTCCTTATACCTTCAACATGGACATATATATACAACACGTTAAACTTGTGTGATTAAAATAAAGGGTAAGTGATAGTATGTATGTCGTACAACTCACATGTTCAATGGGATAAGTCAAGTGGAGACCAAAAGCATTTGGGAATGACCCTAAAGTCAAGGATCTTGTCTTAGAATATTGTAAAAAACAAAACAAAACAAATTCCATTGATAATAATTAAATAAGAAATACATTTGCAATGATATTTTATATATCCAATATCTTTCCATTTCTAAGTTGCTCAATTTACAAAATAAATAACACACATAACATCGTTAAAGCTTTTCCTTATTTTTACTTAATCTATTATTACAAATTTAATTATAAAAGTATCGAATTTTTATCTGGTTTTGTTTTTAAAAACTAACTTATATCTTTTTTATAGAAAAAGACTTGTATCCACTTATATATATATATATATATATATATATATATATATATATATATATATATATATATATAATATATATATATATATAACTTATTAAACGTTGTCTTATCTCATGTGTATTTATTCTTTTTCTTTCAATTTATTTTAAATTATATTTTAAATAATTAAGTAATATATATTTTTTATGATAAATATAATATAATTTACTATTTTTAATAAACACGTTACAGGTTCATTTCACATAATCAATTATTTTTCATATCAATGAACACATTTTTTAGTTGGCATTTGTATTATTTATAATTTTTAAAATATTTATATTAGTTTAAATATAAAATACATTTAGATTAAATTATATTATTATTAAAATAATTTTTTAAAAATGTTTAAAATTACTTTTGAAGTATAATTTCTTTCAAAATTGAATTAGTTTTTTTAGATAATTTGTGAAGAAATATTAAAAAAAGAGGGAAAAATATTAAATATAAGTGAAAGAATTTTGTAATAATAAACGAAAAATAAAAAATATAAAAAATATTAGTAAAATACTATGAGTTGTCATTCGTTTTTTGTTTTTTTTTTATTATCTCATTTTACTACTAAAATTTTTCATATTTCTTACTAATTTTCAATTAAAATTTATATGAAATAAAATTTTCATGCAGATTTTATAAGACTTATGAAAAATTTACACAAAAGATCCTACAACATATAAAATTTTTAATATTATTCCTTCTACTTCTTTTCATGAGTTTCACCAACTGGTTAAATAAATAGTTAATTCCAATGGTGTTTTTTTTGTTATTAAAATTGAATATGAATTGTCAAATTTGTTATTATAAATTGATTTAATATTAAAATATAATTCAATAATTAATTTAAAATATATATTTAAAATTCAATTCCAGATAAAATCTCCAAGATTAGATCATCACAACTTAAAATACAACATATTACAAGATTGAATAATTCTATCACGTCCACCAATTTCTACGCATGAAGAAATACATTTTTTTAAATTTTTCTAAAATAAAAACAAAACGAGTGAGAAAATTTCTGTTCATACACAACAAAACCAATAATTATCGAAAATATTTTTTATTCAATAAAATAGAAGACTTATCTTTTACAATGGACTGAAATAACTAAGATGTGAACACATGAACACACATTAAAGGAGTAAAGGAACAAACGAATTGAAGGTGCCGCAAGAAACACTGGCAAACACGAAAAGAATTTGTTGTTTCTACCCCAAAATTTTTGTTTATGATAATTCAAACTTTAATCATCATACTAAATATTTATTGTGAGGGTTGATAAAACAAACGTCGTAAAAAAATGTTTCTTATTTATAACATTATTATTGCATTCTTATTGCGAAAAGTAAATAGTAACTATACTAGTAAATCGTCGTATTTTTTTAATTAGGATTAAAACTTCAATAGTTAGATTAGATTATTATATGTAATTTGACTATGAAACATTGAAGTTTATATATTATTAATAAATGAAATAATATACGAATTTAAGTTGAAAGAAATAAAGTAATAGAACATTTTTGTTTTATTTTCTAGTAATAAGAATACAGTCGGAAGTTAGATAAATTTATTAAAAAGAAAAACAGTTCAATTATAGAATATTAATAACTAAATTTTAAAAAAAATTCACTTCAATTTTTAAAACTTTTTTTTTTCAGTTTAGTTGATTTCAAATAAAATATTATGTTAATTTAATTTACCTTATAAAATTTAATTTAGTTCAACTTATCCCCCACTCCTTCTTTCTTGTGTGTATGTTGGTTAAAGTCATCATTGCAGCTCCAAAGTGAACCAGGACTCGTGAATTAGAATGGACATTTTTCATAGAGAACTGAAAAAACTTACTCATAAAAGTTTGATAACCCGAATGATTTGGTTCTTATATTAAACTTTATTTTAAAAAAAAATCTGTACCGAATTCTCTGACATAAACTAGTCAAGTTTTTTTCTTTTAATATAAGATAAAATAGTCCAGTTAATTTTTCATAAATGGTTATAACCAAAATATATTTTTTCTATATATCAAAATTAATTTATAAACAAATGAAGTATGAAATAGATTTTTAACCTCTCTAAAGTTTTCAAAATATAGTTTTAGGTTTTTGGAAAACTGTCTTTTAATATTGAAACACCGTTTGATGTTTCAAATAGTCAATGTAGTCTTTAAAGAGATAAAATAAAATAAAATAAACTAAAACATAAAAAGCCTAAATAATATATTCGAAAACAAGAGAATTTTTTTTTCCAAAAGAAATAAAAATAAACTAAAATATTTTAGAAATTTACACTCCAATTTTTTTAATACTTGTACCTCTGTAACTAAAAATAAAATAAAAACTTACTTTTCCTATATTTTTTTAGCAAAATAGCGGTTGGACCGCTTATTTTATTTTAATTTACTAGAATATGAAAAATATATTAATCACAATAAATTATCTACTACATTTTATAATTAATTATCTTAATATTTAAACATTGTTCTCCTAAAAATTTAAGTTTCTATCTTTTCACATTGCAACTTATTCACTAATTTGTATTAGGAAGAAAAATATAAATTTCGGATTTTAATTATTTAATAATTGAATCCTTCAATTATTTCTACTCATGAAATATCTATATATTTTTATTTCTACTCATTCATATATATTCATATATATATATATATATATGAGTGGTGATATTTTGACAACATAAAACAACTCACTTTTATTAATATAATAATCTATAAAATGAATGAATAAAAATAAAAATTAAAATAAAATTATTATTATAATATTAAAAGAGAATTGTTTATAGGAATTGTATGGATTTGAATTGTCAAAGTATCATTTTCCTATATATATTATATATATATATATATTATATATATATATATTATATATATATATATATATATATATATATATATATATATAAAAAGGATAATTATTTTGTTTATTTTCACAACCCTGGATTATTAGATAAAGTTCAGCTTATTTGCTTAAGAAAAGCTAGTTGCCGAACATTTCTTTTGGAGTATAGGATTTAGAGTAAATCTTTCCCCAAAACAATTCACGTCCCTAGTTGTGTGAAATCTAAACTACTCCAGTACTTCAATTTTAAATGTATGACCTCATCACGAGGCTAAATAAGATTTCCCCAAGGTGTTTCTCTTACAAAAACCATTAATTTTTAGTATCACTTACATTTTTAATAGTAGGTGTTGAGAAGGGAAATAAATGATAAACATAAAACCGACCAACCATATTGATATCACAGGTAAAAAAATGGTAGTGTTAGATGTTTGGAAACAACTCATTCACCAAGTACTGAATTGTAGCAAATATTTTGTTCCTCTTCGAAACAAAGGTGAGACGAACTCCGAGAACATATACATCAGGCAATGTTTTCCAAAGCAAAGATAAGCACAGAACCAAAAGAACACGCAAGCTATAAATTTCAAGGCAAAAGTGTCTATTGTTTCCATTTATTAAAAAATGCCTCCTGAGGCAAGTTTATACCATTAAAAAATGCATTTCATATAAGTTTATATTAAAGAAACCGTCCATATTTTCTTCTTAAAAGAAAACATTCTACCACAACTTCAATACAATTTAAACCTCCAATCAAAATACCTTCTGGCAATCCTTAATGCACTCAAGGAATGGATCGTTGATATAGGGGCAAACCTCCCAATGCTTCACGTTCTGCTCTCTCCCTCTTCACCTGCAAATCATAAGTAGCAAAGCATTTAATGACTGTTTTAACAGCTATTTGGTTGTTGATTGTCCACATTTAAGGATTAACACTTTCTGCTTATTATAGAAAATTTATCACAAACGTCTACTAAGAGGGAAATTTTAATCTTTTCAGTAATGTAATATTCATCCAATCGAGATGTAAACTGTAAGTTGGACAAGTAATATATTGATTTTATGATACTTATAGGTTTAACTACGCTTCTAATCCCTGAAATTTGGGATGAATCTGTTTTTGGCCCCCCTAAATTGAGCGAAATATACATTTTAGTCCTTGAAGCCAGACAACATTAATAAAAATGGTGATGTCAATTGAAAGAGAACATGTTTCAAATGTTGGGAGCTCCACATCACTTTTCACTTCCGTTTACACCTCCAGACACCGTGCACTAAATAAATTTCTCAAAAAGTTGAGGGATGAATAATTTGTTTTTAATTTTTGGGACCAAAAACAAATTATCCTGAATAACAGACTAAAAACATAATTCTATCTACTTTGTAATAAAATAGAGTTTTCTTATCCATTCTTCTTTTCTATGAACAGTGTATTGTAAAAGAAATTTTGGCATTACTTTTTTCCAAATTTAATTCTGAAAGTAAAACATGCTTTATGCTTTTGGACCCTTATCTAAATAAACTAATAAAATACTGTTGCAAGCATGAAGGGATAAGCTATTTCTAAGCTAAAGAAAAATTCGCATGTATCTATTACAGCAAGTAGGCACTCACAAAAAAAGCTACAGAATTGAAGTGATAGTGCGAAACGAAGGTAGTCTTCAACTTTTTTCTACTTCACATATAGATTCCAAGTGAATCATCAAATATGCTAATATATTTCTTGAAACTATAGTTATATCTAAAACAATAACAATCTAAGTGGTGCATGTCAGAATCCTGTTCACATTGTCAAGTTTTGTTTTCAGGGGTTTTACAGAGAGGCATGGAGAATTAAGAAGGATGTAATCAACCTTCATCAAATATTATAATGGAACATCCACCAACACATATTTAGTTATATATCATAATAGCACTTACAAGAGCCAGCATATCCTGAAGGTAGCCCCTGAACGGTGTTTGCATTGCCTGTCAGTTAGGCAAAACCGGAAAATATGAGAATTAAAAAATCAACATTCTACTCAACCGAATAGAAACATGCGATCTTTCGTAAATGCACATACTCCAAAATGGACATTAAATCTTCACACCCGTACATTCTAAGAAACAAACACAAGTATCCAGTCAGAGTGTTCTCTCAGACAACTCTAGGAGAGGAACATTTTGCAAAAATTTGGATTGTCCCATATTATCAAGTAGTTTAATCATAGTTAGGTTACAGTGAGCAAACCTCTCAAACCCTCCAGATGCATTTATTATTACCGAGTCATATTAAAACCGAAGCATGATTCTGTACATTCTCAAATTCAGACCATTGTAAGCATTTAGCATTTCACCACAATATTTTCTTTTTCAACCATCTTGGTTGTAACTAAAACTCAACAAAAGCAACAAATCCATCGAAGACCATGTAATTAATAAATTCATATACATCCATCGAAAATCATTGTAGGAAATCGATTTATACATATCCATTATCTCTAAAACCCTAATTAATCCCAGTCAACAGAAACAAGAACAAGACAATCATAGACAACAGAGTAACACACATCCACCATCTCCTAAAAGCTAATCAATTTGGACCCATCACATAAAAATTCCCTTTCATCCATATAGCTCGAAAAAATAGCTTGATAACAATAAAACAGACATAAAATAAGAAGAAAAAACCTGAAGATCATCAGGGAGATACTCGTGCTTCATGGAAAGGTCGATGGCGCGTTTGAGGCGCGCGTGGCGTGCGTCCACCACCTCCTTGGGGAGCCGATTCAGCGCCTCCTTCACATCCAGATCGTAGTAAGGATCGTACAAATCGTCGTATCGAAGCCCTAATTTACAAAAGCCACAACAATTTTTACAAATCTGTATTATTAGGGTTTCGTTTGAACGATGAGAGAGAAAAGAGGAACTGACCATATTTGCGAAGGCGAGTGGAGAGGGATTTCATGTGCTGAGCAGCAAACCAGTTCTTCTTCGGATTAAGAAACGATTGAAGAAACGACGCCATTGCAATTGCTCTCTTCGCTTTCTTTCTCGCTCTTTTGTTTGAGAGTTTCTCGAACAATCAGAAAGAAGAGGAACGGAGAGCTTCTTATTTTGCACCACACCGTTCTTTTCGTCTACGACTATTTACTGTTACGAAACGACGTGTCGTTTATTCCCTCCACTGCCAATGTATTATAATATATAATAATATAATAAAAAAATAATATTATATATAAACACGAATTATTATTTTCTAATATACTTATTTAGATAATAATTACATTTTAAAAGATAATAAAAAATTTAAAATTTTAATCCTTAAAATAAACTTTATATATATATATATATATATATATATATATATATATATATTACTTGCTCAAAAATCTAAATCTTCTTAACTACACATTATCGTATGTAATAAAATTTAAAATCTATTTAATATATAAAATTAATTTTTTGTTGAATTATATTAATATAATATATTTTTAAAAGATCATACAAGTATTTTTTTTAATTGTATCAATTTTTAAATTTTATAAACCATAATAAACAAAATATTTTGTTAAACAAAGTAATAATTTTAACGATACTAAATTATTGTCTTAATTTTGCTATTATTTTTTTATAAGTAAAATTTAAAATATTTATTAAATTTTAAGATTATTTTTTTCTTTTATGTAATAATAAGAAGCTTATAAAGACTTCTCTTATTTATCCTTAGTTTCATTTACATCTTTCTTAACTAGTTTCTTTATCTTCCTTAAACATTGACTTAATATTATACATCTCGATTACAATAAGGTAAGTGATTATAGTAGTGAGAAAAATAATACTTGGTTTTAATGTGAATTCACATTGGGGAAAATTAATAATTAAATTGATTTAGTCATAATTAAAAAATTATAAATTTATTATTTTAACTATTTTATGTTAAAAGTATTATTATGTAATTAACTCGTGATGAGTATAAAAATTTTATGGTTTCATCTGATTTGATTTCTAACCCTGATTACAGAACTATTTTTTTATATATGAAAATCACATTCAAAATGATATGTAATTTATTTAAAATAACTAACATATATACGCATATATTGGAAGAATGATTTTTAGTTGAGAATGAGAATATATAATATATCAACTTTTAAATCAGAGCTATATGTATAGACTAAAATATTTATAAATACTAAAAATATAGTTTACTTTTGTTTTTTTTTTAATGTTTCAATTTAAACCTTCATTCTAATTTAATGATTGAAATTAAATATGTTCTATCCTGAGAATATTATTCTTATATATAAAAACAATTTTACATTGAATATTAGGGGCCTTGACCATTGTTTTTAAATACTAAAACTTGAAATGTTTTCTATATTAACATTTATAAGTAATTCTCAAAAAAAAAAAACTAAGTATTATTTATCTTCCATATTAATAAAATATATTTGTTTATAATAATGATCGTAAAAATAATGACATTTTCTGCTATTAAAACAAGTATACAATTTTTTATAGTCTACACGATAGGAATAAAGTATGTACTTAATATTTATTTATTTTTTAATAGTATTATATAAAAATATTACTATTCTTTTAAAGATTAGCATTGCAATTAGATAACTTCATTAATCTTTCATTTTATCTTTTTTTTTTACTAATTTTTAATTTGTGTGGTTATTAAATTTAGTGTTAAGTTGATTTTACTATTTTAAAAAATAAGTCAATATTGTCTCAATTAATAGATATGAAAATAGATATTATCTTTAACCCTATTTATAAGTCTTGTTAATCAGATTAAACAAGTTAAATATAGGAACAGGGAAAATAATAAATTAAAATATATAAATTTTGATTATAAACTCATAATGGGGTTTCATAGCACATGGTATTTTAAGAGAAAATTACTTATTTTCCTTATATAAAAATAAATATCTTCCAATGACTTTAGCCCCTTCCATATATAAACCTCATGGTCATGTGAAGGAGACACAAAGAGTAAAGATTTTAACAAAAATTTAGCGCCATGCACGACTCTATAATATCGTTGCACTGCCAAAAGGTAACAAACCAAAACCAACAAGGCAGCAACCATTCATGACACGTTTTGACTGGTGAGGGTAGATACGTTAGGAAACCATTTCTAATAATAGCAACCAATAGCATCAAACAAGAAAGTAGCTTTTGCATCCTTCAAACACAAATGGGTTTTTGATTGGAGCCAAGGGACATATATATCACATGTGATGACACATGGATAATCTATCTATATTCATCATTCACAACACCAAACATTTTTTTGTATTAGTTTATGATTGATTCGTTGATGCAGAGAGTAAAAAATGGTATCATTAACCTACGCCAATCAACAAAAGAAATGAGCAGGGAGAGGGTGAAGGAAGGGAAAAGAGAAGATAATAACTGGTGTTTCTCTATTTTTCCTAACGAAAGAGTGGTAGATAAGAAAACCATGTCATCGAGCCGAAGAAGGAAGACGAAGATGTTTAGAATGTGTGGTCGTGGAGGTGGGGATGCTGTTAATGAAGACGATGATGATAGTGATGGAAAAGATAGAGATATTGAGGCAAGAGAAGATGGCAGCCAATACAGTCTCACCGGTATTCTTCTTCCTTCTCTAGGTGCCACCGCTATCCACCACGGTAGTCGTAGACCAACGCTTCGTCGTGACATTATCTCTCCATATAATCGTCGTTACAAGTAAATTTTCTGCATCTTTGCATACGCATTTCATTCATTTTACACAAATGCCAAACCATAGTTTTCTTAGAAGCAACAATTTGTAGGCATAAGGGTTGAAGCCAAGAACAAACACAATGTTAATTAATGGTCAATATTTTACTGTTTTTTCATTATCTCTTTGTTAGTGAACACATTGTCTCATTTACTAGGCATGTTTTAACTCATTACAGTCTAACAAGTGAGGAAGGATTTGAATAATTTATAGAAGTTTGGGTGGGATAGAACCTTGTTTGTCAATTACTATGCATATTGAATGCCAAGGTAATAATACAAGAAAAATGGTTTACATGTATGTGATTATAATATATCATGCAGATTATGGACCAAGTTTTTGCTCATATTGGTCTTCTACACAGCTTGGATATGCCCATTTGAATTTGGTTTCCTTGAAAAATCAAAGGGTCCATTAGCTATAACAGACAATGTTGTAAACGGGTTTTTTGCGATTGACATTGTGCTCACCTTCTTCGTTGCTTACCTTGATAAGTCTACTTATCTATTAGTTGATGACCACAAGCTCATTGCTTTGAGATATGCCAAATCTTGGTTGATTTTGGATGTCATTGCTACCATTCCTTATGAAGTTGTTCGTAGTATGTTGCCACCTCCTCTTCAGTTATATAGTTACCTCAATATTCTCCGGCTATGGCGCCTCCACCGAGTCAGTGCCATGTTTGCAAGGTAATGCCATAACTCATTTTTCCTTCTCAACTCATATCTAGAACAAAACTTGATTATTTCACATTCTATTTTTCTACACTCTTTGAAAAGCCTCTTTTCTCTATGGGAAAATGAGTTTTCACATGTGATTGATGTCTCAATTTTAATTGCATTGTAATAAAACAAATTGCTAATAAATGTGATCAATGCTACAACATGTGTGACTTCAAAGGCTCTGGAAAAACTTCATATATTGAAATTTAAACTCATGTAAATGGGTTAAATTGAGAAGTTGGTTGAAAAGCATATAATTTTAAAACATGTCATAAATTTTGGTGATAAATAGATTTTATATAAAGTGAGTGTGAATGGGAAAGAATTAGTAATCTTACACATTGCTTCATATATGTAAGGGTTTAGGAAATATTAGGGTTTTTATTTGGTGGAAAACTCTTCCACGATTCCTAGAAGAGGACTTTATTAGGAATAAACCAGATTTACTGTTTTAGGTTTTTTTATTTTACTTGAGTTCTGGTCTATGTCCCCTCATGTTACTTCTTGTATGTTTTACTCTTATTAGTATTACATTGACATAGCTGCAAATGATTATGAACTTTAGTATGTCAACTTACTTAAGATACTTAGATTTAGTGTTATGTATATATAATAACCTTTTAATAAAAAAAAAAAAAACGTAGATTCTAAATGATTTGATAGTTCACACAAGAGGCACAATAATGTAAAGGAAAGTAATGTAAAAAAAAAAAAAAAAATTGGTTAGAGTTAGGGAAATTTTGCTTCATTGTACTTACATTATGTTATACCTTTATGTGTCAGATTGGAAAAGGATCGAAATTATAGCTACTTTTGGGTGCGTTGTTGCAAGCTTACATGTGTAAGTACTTACTTATATTGCAGTGGTTTCTTGGTAGAGTTTTGAGCATGCTAAAACACCCTATCTTATTATTCATGTGTCATGCCAATGTAGGTTACTCTATTCACAGTGCATGCTGCTGCATGTTTTTTCTATTTTCTTGGTGCTCGAGATGATCCTCAAACTACATGGCTTGGACTTGTTCCTAACGCCATTGACCAAAATATATGGGGAAAATATGTAGTAGCTGTATATTGGTCCATAGTCACCCTTGTATCAGTTGGTTATGGTGATCTACATCCTGTAAATACAAAAGAGATGATATTTGGCATTTTGTATATGCTTTTTAATCTTGGACTCACCTCGTATTTGATAGGAAACATGACCAACATGGTTGTCCACTGGACAGAAAGAACTAAGAGATATGTAAGTGCATCTTCTTGTTCACCATTCTTTGTTTATAGTTAAACTTTATCAGCTAGGTCCTACAATATCAACTGTTATGATAAAACTGTGACCACAGCATAAAACTTGCTTATAAGTTCTAGACTTTACTTATAGGAAGGGAAAATGAAGAGAATTCTAAGTCTCAAAACATTATGCAAACTATATATAGATTTTTTTCATTTCCAGGAGTTTCGTTGGTTTAATAATTTTAATTGAAAAAGTGTTTGTTTCTTTGTGGCATAACAGAGAGACACTGTCCAAACTGCCTCAAATTTTGCCAAAAGGAATCACTTGCCTGCTCGTTTGCGAGAACAAATATTTGCTCATTTGCTTATGAAGTATAGAACAGATTTAGAAGGACTACAACAACAAGAGATCATTGATTCCCTTCCAAAAGCCATTCAGTCTAGCATCTCACACTTCCTATTTTTTTCAGTTGTAGACAAAGTGTACTTGTTTCATGGAGTGTCAAATGACCTACTTTTTCAACTGGTAATATTTTGTGTTTGTCATACCTTTTCTCATAATGTTAAAAGAAAAAAACTTGAACAATTCAAGTTATTGTTTCTATCTTGAATGAACAGATTGTTTTATTTAACCATGCTTACATATCAATATTTGAAGGTCACAGAGATGAAAGCTGAGTATTTTCCTCCAAAGGAAGATGTGATTTTGCAAAATGAAGCACCAACAGACTTTTATATATTCATTACTGGAGCTGCTGTAAGATATTGTATTGCTCTTTATTTTTATTTACTTTGTTATGTTATAATTTATTGTATTTTTGTTCCACAAGCACACACAAGCTTTTGAATAGGTAATTTCTTGCATGTCTATTCTCTATTTAATAGCTTATTTCAAAGAGAAACATGACAAGCTAACTTCCATTCTGTCGTTCCTAACAGGATCTTATCATTCAAAATAATGGAATGGAACAGGTAAGTTTACTTATTTTAGTATTTTTTGAATGATCATTGCATTCTTTATGTGATGCCATTGTCATGGAATTGACATCATGAGAAGGCTTGATTCTATACTAACAAAAGGTTCATGCAATTATACCAGGTTGTTGGAGAAGTAAAGCCAGGAGAAGTAGTTGGGGAAATAGGAGTCTTATGTTATAAGCCACAATTGTTCACAGTCCGTACCAAGCGATTGAGCCAGATTTTGCGCATGAATCGAACCATATTTCTAAATCTTACTCAGTCAAATGTTGGAGATGGAACAATGATCATAAACAATTTTCTTCAAGTATGTAAAACTTTTAAGTTTCTATGAAATTTTTCTTTTTAGTTCCTTTCATTTTCTGGTCCAAATGGTATAGACTATAAATCTAACTAATAAGATTCTTTTCCACCCTTCCCCTGAATTTCCCTATTGAAGATCATTATTTGAAATGTTTTCGATTTTAGTGGACGCATAATCTACTAAACCTCAACATCATTGTCTGATATTTTAAAACCTTTGAGCAATCTTTCTTCTAACTTTTAGCATGTTCTTATAAAAGGGAACACTTGGCTTCTCAGATATACATCTGAAATGGAAGAGAAGAGAGTATAAATTTGGAAAATAATTATAGAAAACATTTTGTTGATGGGATACATTACAAAACATATGCAATTTGCTTACATGATTTGTTTAGTTTTATAATAGATTTTATTGTGTTATATGGAATATAGTTCCTATGTGTCGAAGTGGAATTTTATAAATGTGATTAGAATCACAAACCATCGTTAGGAGACAGAAAACTAACTGCTTTCCATGCAGGAGTTTGTCTATGTCATTTTGATCTGTTTTATTCCTTGGTGCAGCATTTACATGAAATAGGGAATCCAGATATGAAAGGAATTTTGGCAGAAGTAGAAGTAATGTTGGCTAGGGGAAAAATGGATTTGCCTATCAGTTTATTGTTTGCAGCTAGTAGAGGTGATGATATTTTGTTGAATCAATTGCTAAAGAAGGGTTCAGATCCAAATGAGCGGGATAAGAATGGAAAGACAGCATTGGTTAGTAAATATGTTTTCCTCCAGTATGAACACATACACATATGTTTAAACCTACTATGTTGAACTCTTACAACTTTACTTTCACATGCAACAGCACATTGCAGCTTCCAAAGGCCATGAACATTGTGTACTTTTGCTTGTAGAATATGGAGCTAATCCCAACATCAAAGGTAGAGGCTTTTTGAAAACTCAATTTCTATTGAAAATAAAAAGTTTAGCAGTAAAAAAGAAAAGAAAAACAAGTGATGGAAGCATCAACTTTGGAATCTCAGACAATAAATTTGACAATACTGTTTGACATCAATTTTTTTATTGAATGTCAATATGTTCCTTCAATTCACACTCAGCACATGAAGGGAATTACTCTGTCCATGCATAATGAATCCATCCCTCCATTAATCTTTGTTGGAACATAAATTCTGAGCTAAATTATCATTTCATCTAGCAGACCTTTTGGTTTCATCAGTGACAAGTGTTTTCCAGATAGAAGTTATGTATGTGAGAATTGGTATTTGGACCTATTGGTGTAGCCTAACTACTCTTAATTACACAGACATAGAAGGAAACTCTCCACTATGGGAAGCAATTAGGAGTGAACATGAAGCTGTGATGAAAATTCTACTACAAAATGGTGCAGAAATATTATCTAATGATGTAGTTGAATATGCACGCCTGGCTATTGAGCAAAATAAAATAGATATGCTCAAGGACATTCTTCAACGTGAAGGGGAAGCAGCAAAAAGCACGAGTCAAATGACCACACTACTACATGCTGCAGTGTGTGAAGGAAATGCTGAAATAGTGCAGTACCTTCTAGATCAAGGAGCAGACGTTGATATGCAAGATAGTAATGGCTTGACTGCAAGGTCTTTAGCAGAACACCAATGCCATGAAGAAATACTGAACATATTTAAGAAAATTGGACACAACAATACGACACATAGTATGCCCCCTATTGCATGTTATGTTGGTAGGTGTAAAAGTGAACCCACTATACCAGGCATTTCCCAACCCAACAACAACAAACCACCTAATAAAGAAATGGCATGGTTTGATAGTTATCAAAGAAGAAGGGCCAACCCTTTCCACAATTCCATTTTTGGAATGATGTCATCAGCACATCTTGGTAAATATGCATTTCTATTAAACATTATTTATAGTCTTCTAACCAATTTCATCAATGGTTGCTAAGAAAATTGTACCAGGAAGTTCATAGAGAATTGTAATATTTTTAACCACTTGGTCTAAGTTAGACAGTTTTCTTCAAACATGCATACCATATTTTTAACTGGTTCAAGGAAAGAAAGTAGCAAATTTTTGTATATCATGTATAGATAGATACATAAGTTTATTCCATTGTTGACTATCAGTGAGAACAGAAAATCCTATTTTGCATTTCAGAATATTGAATTTCAGTTTTGTTTTTATTTTCAGATAGAAAAGATTCAATAGCTACATCTCAAATCAGTTACACTATTAAAGAAGAAGTGACAGCCAGAGTAACAGTTAGTTGTCCAGAGAAAGGTGAAAGAGCCAAGAAGCTTATCTTTTTGCCTAGTTCTCTTCAAGAATTGCTACGTATTGGTGCTCGAAAGTTTGATTTTTCTGCCTCCAAAATATTGACCTCAGAAGGAGCTGAAATTGAAGACATAGATGTCGTAAGAGATGGTGATCATCTTCTTCTCGTATAGGATTGAACGTTGAAGATAGCAAAACGTGACTTCACTCTCTGAGTATATATTGTGCACATGTATCTTAACACCTTACCTATTTTTGCTCATTGTAAATTGCCAAATTTTTACCATACAAAAGAATCTGTTAGTTAATTTGTATTGAAAGGGTAGATTTTTATTTATTTATTTGTAAAATATGTAATATATTAAAATAGTGTTTAAACAATTATTTGTGTTGATTTAGTTCTTATGAAATATATACATAATTTTTGGGTCAAATTATTCAACTTCGTTTACAACACCTAATTTGTTAGAAGACATGAATTATTCTTAATCTCACATGAGTCATTAAATTAGTGATTGTACTGATTAATTAATGATTAAATTATAATGATATTAACATTTTAAACGAGAATAATTCTTAAATTAAGTATGAAATAAACAATCATAAACAGTTAAATTAAAATTAAAAAAAATTACGAACATTAAACCTTAATTAGAATTGTAAACATTCTCATACTCCTTCTTGTATCATTAAAATAATGATTTATTTTCTATTCTTTTTCATATTCATTAATGGATTTTTCCCTGTTAACATTATTTGAACCTAAATATTCTAAGATAGCATTGGTTGACCAATTTTTCACCAATAACACATTTTTAATAAGAAGTCAGAATTCGGTCTCCCGCAACCTGACTTGTATTTTAATAATTTTTTAAAATAAAAAATATTTAATAAATATAAATATTAAATATATATATATATATATATTTATATAAAATAAATATATAAATATAAAATATATATTTATATACTTTAAACATTTATTTATATAATAATATTAAATAAATATAAAAATATTCACTACAAGAAAAAACGGTATTAGCGACCGAAAAACCGGTCGCTAATGGCTAAAAACCGATCGCTAATCGTTAGCTGATCGAAATTAGCGACCGAAATGGTTGGTCGCAAAAGGGCAAGTCGCTAATTAGCTTAGCTGACTACAGATCGGTTAGCTAAATAGCGACCGATCGAGTGGTCGCTAATTAATTTGGTCACTTATTCTTTGGGGACCAAAATAGCGACTCGAAAATAATATAATAAATCGTACGCTAAATCCGTGGTAAAATTTTAAAGAATAGCGACCGATTTATTCGGTCGCTAATATATTAATATAATTATTTAAATAATAATTAAAATCGATCGCTAAATTGGTCGCTAAATTGGAGACAAAGTTAAAAATAATAGCGACGGATATAATCGATCGCTAATATATTAATTGAATTATTTAAAGAATAATTTAAATCGATCAGCTAAATCGGTCGCTAAATTTGAATTGTATATTATAATAAATTTGTAGCGACCAAAAATTCGATCACTAATCTAACCAAATCTGAAAATTTTCGTTTAAAATTTTGTATATCCAATTTGACAAAATTTGTACCTGTTTAATTCATCCAAACATAACACAAATGAAAACTTAAGAACTAAAGTCAAATTATTCAAATCATAAAATTTGTACCGCTTAATTCATTCAAACATAACATAAATGAAAACTTAAGATAACATAACATAACATAACATAATTCATTCAAACATAACATAACATAACATAATTCATTCAAACATAACATAAATGAAAATTAGTCCTCTGGTATATTGTCAGTTGTCATGTTGACTAGTGTCATGTTGACTTGTAGTAGGATGACTATTCATTTGAATATGTTGTAAAATAAGCTTCATCTCGCTCATCTTGTTGGCGTTGGTTGTTCCTCAACTCCTGCATCTCTTCTTCAAGTGTCTTCTCCTTATTATGCTTTGCCACCAATTCAAGCATTTAACTTTTCAATAGTCTCACGCATTTGTTCAATTTGATGAAGTATCTGCAGCTTGAGTAGAAGATTGAGAACCCGATGTAGTAGTGAACTTTTTGCTCAATGTACCAAGTCCATACACATTTCCCTTTTTATTTTCACCTCCAACAACTGAAATGTATATTTGATTATCATCAACAGAGACAATAGGAGACTCTTGTGAAGATGAGCCTTCACGCAAGTTTTGTTGATGGACTTCTTCTCTGCGCTGCATATATTGTTCCTAAAAATGAAGTGAAATATAATTATTATGAAGAAAACATATATTGAATAATAAACTATAACTTAGATGTTAAACATACAGCAAGATAACGAGTTTTTTCATTGACCCATTGTCCAGTCTTTAATTTCTTTGTCCTCTCAACAACCTCTCAAACGGTTGGTTCCCGTTGAAACTCCGTAGTCTACACATTAAAATGAGACAAAATTCATTACCTAAAGTGTAATATATTGTATTAAATTACTTATATAAAAATATAATAAACTTACCATCTTCTCAAAGTGAGTCTGCAGTAGATATGGAACCTCCACGTAGGCCGAGGCACCCTTATCAACAGCTCGATTAGCCTTGGCAATGGCACTCTTGTTTTGGAAATCTTGAGAACTCCAATATAAGTCCAAAGATGCTCGAACAGTTGGTGGTATCCAGATTCCCGTATCCTTACCCTTCCTAACTTTGTTCATTGAGTTTTTTAAAATTCGAGAACCTTTCTTATCAAAAATAGATCTTATGGCTTGCTCTTGTTCCACATCCCATATATACTCTTTCTGCATAAATAAAATACACAACAAACATTTAATTTATAAGAATGAAATGACATTGTTTAATGTAACTATAATTCAAATTACCTTGAACTCTCCAAACCATCTATCTTGAAGCTCAAGTGAAACCTTTCTCCAAGTGGGACTTGGTTCATCAAATTTTTGTTTGATGATTCTAGAGATTATAGCAGGAGGACCATTTGCTTGGTATAAACCTGTGTTGAAACATATTGTGGGATTGATATTATTAAGAAATTTCATATTAAAGAATTATAATTAAATTAAAACATACTTACTCTCCTTTGTCTCGCTTGTAACCATGGCCTTTGATCAACCATATTTCCAGACTCAACCTCGGTTGCGACTGACCCAGTGTACTGTGTAGGTTGACCAAATGTCGCCTCAAGCAAAGAAGGTAGTAGGAATTGTTTCTACTACTATAGCTACAAGAGATTCCCGCTGAGTCGAGGGAGGTGTGCGTTCTACAAACATAGGATTAGTAGACTCCACTGGATCTTGGTCGAACAAAACTAGGAGAGTTAGGGCTGGGTGAACCTCTATCATCAACCAAGACACCTCGACCACCACGATGAGGTGGTCTACGACCACCACTTCTACCCCTTTGTGGCATCTACAAGCGGATCTTATTACATATGTAACATGCATAAAATTAAACAATTGAAACAATGAATTACCCGATTGTGTTTTCTACAACCAAACGTGTCAGTTAGCTTACCACTCATTCACTCGCAAATAATTAAATCATAATCATATCAATATATATATATATGTATGTATATATATGCAATATTAAATAAAGGTGTACAATCAAATTTAACAATTGTAAAAATAATTTTAATGCATGAATTACCGAAGTATCTGTATCATCAAAATCACTCTCAGTCTCATCCTCACTTGAAATATATTCATCCTCATCTTCATCTATATTTCTTTCATTTAGTAATTGTATATCTATTTCTTCTCCCCCACCATTAACATCAGCAAGGGAATCATCAATGAAGTTAGGATCAATACGAAGCACTACTTCAAGTTCTACAAGCTCATCATCTTGGTATGGAGTCTCATGCTCAACTTGATCGACTATATTATCAATGATTCTACTACGAGATTTTGTCTTTATTACACCCAACCAACCTCGGTGTCCCTCTGGATAACTTGTGTAATAAACTTGTTCTCGCTTGTTAGTGCAAATATGAAAGGATCATATGCTTTATTATATCTTCGTGATTGCTTTACTTCCACGATTCCATACTTATTATCTACTTTGGTTCCTATATTAAGAGTATTGTCAAACCATTCACACTGAAAGAGAACTAAATTCATCAATGGCAAACCAGTATACTCTAATTGAATAATATTAGACAATAATCCATAAAAATCTGACTCTAATTGACCATTGGTTCCTCGTACATAAACACCATAGTTACAGGAATTCATGCCTTCACTCCAAACAATAGTGAGGAATTTGTATCCATTGATAACATACATAGGCCATGATTCAACTTTTCTCTTGGGACCCCATGCCAAATTAACCAATAATGGATCTTCAATATTATTTTCTGGATTTAGAACCTAAAGACAGCAAAGTCCTTTACACATTAGACTATGTAAGTCAGAATAAATATTTGTAAGACATATAAGTCAAAAACTTACATATTTTTTAAACCATTTAGGAAAATGGGATGAAATGTCTTGGTCAATTTGGGCACCAGAAATACTAGGATTTAGCTGTCTTAAATATTCAATATAAATACTGCAAACATGTAACAAATTACTTAAACCACACAAAGTAACATGAGTAATTTTGATGTGAGAAGAGTGAAAACATCTTACTCAAAATATGGTTGAACCTCTTCACAATTTTGAAGAACATATAATTCGGCAGCATCATAGTCTCTTTGGTCCAGAAAATATGTTTGAGATTTTCCTATTGGTCTTCCTGGGTAGTTGAAAATTGAAATAGGAGGAGGGGATGAAGAACCTTCACCTACATGAACATTTCTAGGAATCCTAGTCCTTCTTGTTTCAACATGATCAGGATAATAAAATGAGGCAAATGTAGATGTTTCTTCCACCAAGTAAGCTTCACAAATAGAGCCCTCCACCCTAGCTTTATTCTTCACTTTCCTTTTTAAGGAGTGTAAGAATCTAAAAAAGAATACAAAAATGGAGTCTTTAAAGAACATATAAAATACTTTAGAAATGGAGGGTGAGTAGTTAGTGTAAAGATACATCTCAAAAGGATACATCCAACGATATTGAACTGGACCACCAACCTTTGCCTCATAAGGTAGATGAATTGGAAGATGTTCCATTGAATCAAAGAAGCTTGGTGGGAATATTTGTTCCAAGTTGCACAA